TGACGTGCGAGATAAATATTATGGAGAAGTTCCGTGCATTTTCCATAACTGATATTATTTTCATTAACACCTATTATCAAATCTTTCAGTCAATTAACAACGCAATTGCAAAATGAAGCTGAAAATGCCTTAAATTTTAAATGGAGATCGATTTGAAAAAAAGATATTCTGATTGCAAATCTTGATTGTAGAAATGTGAATTCTCAGATAAATTTGTAGTTTCGGCAAGAGGGTGGGAAACTACACCCGGAACACCTGGACAAAAGCTTTTCTGAGTGTATCACCAATTACACGTGAGCACATCGAAAGAAAGTTCCGCTGGTTCGACAGTGTGGAAAGAAGATATGACGAATATGTTGGAAATGTGGTCCAAGCAATGATATTGCCAGAAAATGTAAGAGTTGGAAGATAGAACGAAAGATATATATATCATAAACTAATTCACGCTGTTGTTCGCCTCGTTTAAGTCTGCTTGAACTTTTGTTAACCTTCTGACTTATAAAAAGGAATAAACATCAATGACCTCACTTAGGAAGAAGATATAAGAATGTGGTTATAATCTTAGAATAGGATTTTATAGTTTCAGTATCGGTTAGCCGCTATCCTTCACCAACACAATCGAACGGGCAAAATGTCTTCTGATCACCGAAGATCCAAGTCGTTTGTTTCTTCTAACTTGTATACTTGAAACTTGGATGAAAATGAATAGATCACGAAACCTATGACCCAAATGATGAACAGAATGTAATCTGTCATGAAATATTTCATCATCAATCTATATCCTAAACTGGGGTGGAGATTACCTATTTCCAACGAAGCACAGGTTACACTGAATTGTACCTATCAGAGTTCACTGAAACCATTTCTATCAAAATGAAAAGTAAACAAACTTTCATGATAGAATGCAACGGGTCAATTACAAATCTCTTGAACATCATAGTGTATGGATTTTAAAGTTACTGAACCAGGAGCTGCGCATAGATCTATTTTTGCTTAACGTATCGCGATAGAAGCAGAATATTATTTAATAAAGTTCCTGCATTTTAATTTCACGCAGTGGTTTTCTTCCCAAAAGCAACCCATTTTGGGTCGCATATCTGGAGATACCTATGACAATCAACATGCAAGGAGATTGCTCGATCAGTCACTACTGAGGAATGGTAACAATGTCATCATATGCATGATTTCAAAATTGTTGAAACGTTTTTAATCCCTTGCTTATTAATAATGTATAGCTCTCAAAAATATTTCATTCGTTGCTGCGATTAAAACTTCGTTGAAAACCATAATGGATTTTAACTATTTGTCTGCGTAGTTCACCACTATAATTCACATTGTTTTAAAGTTGGCCATTTAGGGGTTCCGCGTTTTCTGATATCAGGATTTTAGTATCCCGTAAATGCTGCGTTCGGTTCCATGCTAGACTTGAAGCTGCATAGGTAAAATTTTCTTCAGATATCCATGGCCTTTTCATTTTTCAGGAGAAAGTGGTATACTTCAGTTAGCTCTGAAGTATTGTAAGGGTGTTGCGACAGTCATCTGTAATATCGCGTTTGAAATAAGTAGATGCGTAGCTTTAACAGTTTGGCGTTCTTTGTCACAAGAACTTGAATTTAGCACCGTTCTTAAAATTCCATGCCAAAATATAAATAAATTAATAAAAATCAAGCAGCTGCCAAAGGACTAAATCGAATGACAGAGCAAAGTACAGTGGTTTTTGTAGTAACTATGCATTTAAAAACGATCAGCCAATGAGACAATGACGATCGTCATTTCTTTTAAACAAATTTATCTGGGAGAAAGATACTGCGACTGTCAACCCAGGTACCCTCGCGGACAGGGGGAGGGGTGATCGCAATGCTAGTTATCTTTGAAGAAAACATGAGTCATTGTGCAATCCATTCTGTACGCAGAAGATGGCTTGAAGAGAACGCTGAAAATTGTAAACGCAGCTTAATCTCTGTCGCGACTGCACTTGTTTCACACGAAACAACTAAACTGCTTCTAAATTTTGCTCAAGTGAACTCTTGAGTGTTTTTCTCAGTGACTATTTTGAGAAGCTAGCGTTGGTGAGCAGTAGCCAAACTGTTTACGACGTAGTTCATTGGAGAAATGATGCATTCCGAATGTCCTCTGATTAACCGCTGTGTAGATGAATACGGTATTAGTGAGTTTGAGTATGTCGAATGACGCAGAAGAGAGTCAGAACAGCTTTATGCAGAAACGAAAATTGCTTAAAGCTGGGCCACTTGGCAACAACACCGACTCTAAAGAACGGCGAATACGAGATTGACGCGCTAAAGAAAACGAAGTGCTAAGACGCTGAATTTCTAAGCACCAATGGTCCTTCCTTCCTTTCTTGATTGCTGCCTTTGCAAATATCTGATTTTCAGTGGAGAAACTTGAGGATGCAGAACTCCGCGGTGCTCTCTAATTTAGCATGGGTTCTGAACCAAAAGAACGAAGAATGACAGTTTTGCTGAAGTTCCAAAAAGTGCTTTACTTGTAATAATCCTCCTTGCAAAAGATGAGGCCCTCTCGAGTGAAGCACGTCAACTCCGTCTCGAGGCTTACACGGCACACGCAACATCGTAGACACTGGATGTGCCAAGTCAGATCGGCAACGAGCAAATAGAACTGATCCTTGATCTTCAGTTGACAGCCGGCGCAAAGAGAAGCCGGGAAGCAGTAGTTCATCTTAGCTACAGAGTCTTCTCATCTTCATCGGTAACCATGTCCGACTGCGGTGACCTAAACATTAAAACCCGTAGAACATGTTAGCGAGCGTGCCGTTTCGAATCGGCCAATATCGATTGAGTTTTCTACAGTAAGCCAGACAGCGAATAAGTGGCGCAAAAAGAAAGTTCAAGTAAAAGCTCCGAAAGGTCACACATGGGGGCCAGAAGCAGCGACTAATGTGACAGCGAACAAGCGGATTGATTGCGCGAAAAATCTTTTATCGTGTTCCCCTGATTACTAAAGGGTAGAAGCGACGAGTATCTTCTGCGTAACCGACAAATGGCGCTGGTCAACATCAGTCCAAAAGGACCACTTCAGCTGGTTGCCAGCCTTCGAAGGTTCGGATTGACCACTGATGACGTCACGTCGATTGCCACCAAAGGTGATCTCATCGCAAGTGACGACGGCAAAATAAACGATTAGATGAAGTAATGGCGACTTGTGTCGCACACATGTGGCCTATCGAGTGGCGGCGACGCCACCAGGCCAGGCAAGCGCCCTCGTGGTCGTGACCTGAAGAGCCCATCAGCAGTTCAGAGGGACGCCGAAGAACAGCCGGAAGTGACTTGCCTTCCAATGAAACGGCAAGAACAACAATTGCCAGTCGCAAGAATGACTTCACCGCAACGCGCTACCACCAGCTGTGGATGCGTTCTCGTACGAACTAGGAATCAAACGTTTCTCTCGTTCGCCACCCTCAAGATTATCCGCCAACGTCCAGGCACGCGCCGCGAATTATGGGTGGAGG